GAGAATAATGTGTAATTTTATGTGTATGTATTAAGAAATATAGTTTGATTTTGTGTATTATACAGTATTGTACTATTTAATATGTACTCTGTTATTGTATGTTTAATATGTACTATATATGTATATTTAATATGTAACATTTACATGTACCATTTATTCTTTTGTGTCATTGTTTTATTTAATCTTTAATATCATTGTCATCTGTTGCAGCTGGTAAGGTTTCTATACAAATAATTTGAGAGATAAAGTTGTTAAATTCTCAGTTCATGTAGCGCGTATTAATAGAGTTAGCAACTGATTGCATTAGGTTAAAGTTGAAGCCAATATTTCCCAAAGACAAGCATCCAAGTGCCAAAAAATCGATGAAAAAGAAAAAAGTTAGAGCTAAAAAAGTTAGAGCGTTAGCTATCCAAACTGAGTTATGATGAAATTATAGATTCATATAAAAGTTTGTCTAATGACCAACTTTATAATTTAGAAGATGTCATGTAAAGAAGAATTGTAGGCAAAAAGCTATACCATGAATGAAATGATCCTCCAAGTCTGTTTTGTATAATGGCAGAGTAGAAAAGTTATGAGTAGAAAAAATGAATTAGTTTATACTATTTCTTACTGGACAGATGATGAAACGTATATGGAAGCTGTTGACCATTGCATGAAAAAGATCCAGCTTGTTGCAGATGTTATTTATGAAGAGTTACAATTTTATTAATTTAATATTATATTAATAAAACACTGTGAAAATACAAGTTTAGAATTTAAGCTAAAAAAGTACTACAAGTGAATTGCTGAAAAATTCTACCAGTGTTGTGACTAGGTAGAAGAAATTTATTATTGTAATCATTCACTAAAAGCTAAGATAAAACTATATGAGATAAAAAATAAACAAACCATTATTATTTCTTTTTAATAACATTTTGTTTCTTTTATATTTAAAACAGCCAAAATAAATTTTACCCAAACTTCTATCAAGCGCTATTTTAAAGATTTAAAAATTATTAAAGGTTGGTTAATAAAATGGACATCAAAGCTGTTGAACATTGCATGAAAAAGTTTCAGCTTGTTGCAGATATTTTTTCCAGAGAGTTGACTAGATAATATATACTAGATATTAAATTTGAAATTTATAGATTAAAAAACTGCAAGTGCTGTGACTTGTTGAAAAAAAAAAGTACTGCAAGTGTTGAAACTTGCTATGCATTTTTGATAGACGGCTCTGGCTTACCTTCACGTGGTGTCTATTGTTAAAAATGATGATAAAATAATTTCATTAGTGGAATTTATCATTATAATCATTCACTAAAATCCTGGAAAAAACTTTATAAAATAAAGCATCATTAAAATAATCAAACATTGTTTAGTGTTAATAACATTTTATTTGTTTATTAGTTTGAAACAGCCTAACTTTTCGTTAACCAAACTAGTAATTGAAGATTTATAAAAGTTGGTAAATACCTTGTTTTGATTACCTTTTTACGACTATTTACTGATAATAGAAGTCACTCTGTAGGAGAATATTTTAACCAAAAATTCTCCAATTAATCATAAATGCTTTTTTTTAAAAAAAAATGTTTAGTCGGGAGAAAAGAGGGGGGGGGGGATAGTTACTCTTTTTTGACAATGGATGCAACACTAATGTAACTTTAACCGGCTAAGATTTATTTTTTAATTCTTTGTTGTTGTTTTTTAAATAACCAATCAAATATTTCATAATTAAAATTTTGTTTGTGATATTAGGGTGTGTTAAAACATGGTCAACACATTTAACATGAGTTTTATACTTACCTTCAATGTTTGGTGGTTGTACAGTATTAATTTATAGAACCTTTTTTATACAGAAAAATTATATTTCGATAAAAATTACCACTATGTATAGTTAACACTATCTCCTCGTTGTATAACAATAGTAGCGCAACAGTCTCATATCAAGGTTGTAAATCAAACTCTTTTCCTCTAAACCAAGGAGTAAGCTGTCCATCCAATACACCCAGTGGTTAGAGTTTAACAAATGTTTAAAATGTTTAGCCCGCTCTTACACCTATCTTTTGACACCAAGATAATTGTATTTCGATAAGAATTAATAAAGTTATGACATTTTAAGTGAAGAAAAACATAATTTTGACCACAGTTTCTTCAACAATTCCATATATCGAAAAATCGGTACTTAAGCTGTTATAACTTTTGAACCAATTGTTCGTTTTTGATAATTTTTTTCACCTTTAAAATACTGTATTGATCCTCTTTCTAATGATATATAACAGTAGAATATTTAAATAATTTAAAATTTTTACTTAGGTATTTAATAACAAAAAGACTATTTCCCTTTACCCCCAATAGGCAGAAAAACAAGGGGTAAAGTGAACTAAATTGATTTACAAACTAAAAGCTTAGCTTTTTTATATTATGATAAAAACTACAACTTTTTTTAAGCAGCATTATATTATCTTTAAAATGCATATAAATTATATAACTGATATTCACATTAATTACAACAAATCATGAATTTACTAAAACCTATCGCAAAGTTTGAGATCGTAATTTTAAAACTTCCGACAAACTCGCTTTTTAAAATGGCGACTTCCATCAAAACAAAGGCTATATTTAATTAATTTTTATTAAAATAATGCTAAATTACTTAACAAAATGTTTTTTAAACATGATAACTTTTTAGTTTAAAAAAATAGTTTTCTTTATCCCTAGTTCACTTTACCCCAGTTTACCTAAGCTATTAAATTATTAAACCACGATAAAAAAACGTTTAAGTAACTGCTTTGTATAGACCACCATTCGGAAATAAAAAATCTTTTCAAAAACACTTAAAATGGTATTAAAAAAAAATCTATTTTTCAATACAATATTCTTCCTTTAATAAACTAGGCTACTCGTGTTACTCTTCTAACTGAATTTCTCATTGATAATATTTTTACTAACATTTTCACAACATGCAACATTCAAAGCGGAATCATAAAAAGCGATATAAGCGACCACTTTCCATTTTTTTTTTTATATCTGATTTTTATAAAAAAGAAAAGAAAAGCAAAGTGCTAACGGAAATAAAAAGGCAGATAACTGAATTTAATATTAAGGAATTTAGAAATTATTTACTCAAAGTAAACTGGAAACAACTACATTATTGTAAAAATATAAATAAAGCCTGAGAATTTTTTTATAACGAATTTTTTAAAGCTTACGACAAAACGTTTCCGATGAAGGAAATTAAAACCAAGCTTAAAAATTTACAAAGTCCATGGATTACAAAAGCACTTAATAAATTTTTAAAGAAGAAACAAAAACTATATGAAAAATATTTTAAAAAAAAAAACCTACTAAAACGAAAAAAAATATAAAACTTACAAAAACCTGTTTGAAAACTTGAAAAAAAACGCTAAAAAAAATTATTTCTCAAATTTCTTACAAAAGAAAAAAAAAACTCGTTGTAATTATTTACCGAAATATTTATATACTGAGGATGAAAGAACAATAATTAATTAGAAAAAATTTATTACAGTTTCAATAACTTTTTTATAAACGTGAAATCATTTCATTTTATAAAAATAAAATCATATCTAAAACAAAAGGACTATGTAACGAATGAGCTTGAGATATCGTCCGGTTTGTTTTTAATATGATAAAACCAAACAAAAGCACAGGCCTTGATGGTATAAGCCCTAAGGTTGTTAAAGAAGTTTTTGACATTATTTAGTACCATTTACTTATTATTTTTAATCTTTCATTTAAAAATGGAGTTTTTCCTGATGTCTTGAAACTAGCTAGAGTAGTTCCAATATTTATAGATGGTGATATCTCAAAATTATCTAATTACAGACCTATTTCAATACTCCCATGTTTTTCTAAAATTCTAGAGCGAATAATTCGCAGAAAAAAACAAAGTAGGAGTCACTGATAAAGTTTGGCACCTTTAATTACTTCGATAATTTTTTTTTAAAACTATTTGAGGCTAGCGTTGAAGTTGGTATTTTCGTCGAACTGCAAATAAAGAGGTTTGTCAAGTTTATATACTAGATCAATTGAACGCCTTAAAACAGTTTTGTTTAAGTTACTAAAGCTTCCAGCGTAATCGATGATATCGAGTTGGTTCAGGTTTTTATGAGGGATTGCGTCAAAATGAAATGCAAAATGTCATTTAATATGCTCGACGCTCAATTCGATAAATTTATCGCTTTTATCAGGATTCATTGCACTTAAGTCGTTGTGACCATAAAGTACCAATCAGTATAATAACTTCGTAAAATCGATTTGCAGGATACTCTCAAATTTTATTTGAAGCTCTAAAGTGATATTTTTATTCCATATATAATTGTTGTTTATTACCTCATCTAATTATTGGATTATTTTAAATAATCCAATAATTAGATCTTAAATTAAATATTTAATTATATTAAAGAGTAAACTCTAATATAAAAGTTACTGTAACTTACAGTAACTTTCATATTAGAGTTAAAAGGCTGTAGGCAAATAAACCATCATCTTTCTTACAGTGTAAGAAAGATGATGGTTTATTTGCTTACAGCCTTTTATAAGATTGTATAAAGCAATCGAACTATTTCCTTAAAATAAATTAAAATATATTTTCTATAGTTTATTTGTAATATCTAATTTAATACGCACACACGTGTGTATGTCTGTTTTAAACTGATTACAGTAGTTTACAATAGTTAGTTTTAGTTTTAGTGTAGATAGTTTATATTCCCATTATATTTTAAATGCTTTAACTACAGTTAAATCAAATGCTTCATGTACACTTTACAGTTTTGCTTTAAGTGTATATTTAAAATAATCACAACTCTGCGTAATGTAGGGTTGCCAGATGTTTGGTTTTTACGGACTAGAATACAATGTCAAATTTGTAAAAATAATTTTTTTACTGTGAACGCAAAGGTAATGCGTTGTTATTTTTTGATATAAACTTCTAAAAGCTTATTTATTATATGTCTACTCTCAACGCAACGGAATGCAATATTAGAACAAAAAAAAAACAATTGATTTTAAATAATTAATAATATCAGAAATTAACACTTTTTGATTGTAATTGCTTCTGTACTTCATTTGGCTTCAAATGTTTTCATCCTAAAACAAAATGTTTTGAATTTACTTTTAGGTAAAATTAAAAAATTCATTAAAAACATTTTATATCTTCTTTTCCATAGTTTACTTTAATTTCTTAACCAATATATATATATAGTTATAAACACAAAATTTCTTCTATTGTAGATAATTTCCACACATGTATCCATACTCAGGCGAGGTGAGATTTTTTTTGGAAAAATCAAGATTATCTCTCTTGGTATCATATGAGGTAATCTTGTATTTATCAATTTGTTCAAAATTACATTCCCTAAATTTAAATTAAGCTACGTCTTTACAAGGATTACGTTTAAAAAAAATTCCAATCCAACAATTAAAATTAAAAGATGACAAATATAATCAATGCAATAGATTTTTAAAATATATATTAGTATGTTATTATTCAAAACCTAGTACCCAACTCTACCCTTTTTCCCACCTTAATTAATGTATAATTTAAAATTAGATTTAAAAAAAAAGGTAAGAATGTGCAATTACAAAATGTTTTGTATTTAAAAAATTAAAAATATTGTATAAAATTAAACTCAATAAAAGTTCAAGGATCATTTAAAACTATTGATGTTTCAGTAAATCAAAGGAGCTTTTTAACAATCTTTGATTATCATTAGTTTTACAAAATTTTCATAAACTTTTTAATTAAGTGTAAAATTAATAAAAAGACTCATTATTTTTTGAACAAATCTTCTAATTTAGTGATGGAGGCAAAATTGAATATAATAGGTTGATTCAAAGACCAAGTAGTATGCATCTGGCGATGTAAAACATAAGTGCATATGAATTATGAAATATTTGTAATAAAAAAAAAAATATTTAAACCTTCGAAAAGTTCTTTAGCTTCTCAATTTATTCCTTTTGTACACCATAATGGTTGAGTCTTGTCCAACAAGCATTGGACCCAAATTTTCATCTGGAGTAGGCCAACATAAAGTAGATTCTCCGTCTCGAGCATAGTTTATATTGGGTGTTGCACCAGTCCAACACTCACCCCAAAATTCAATACCAAAGTACTGTAGAAAAATGAACATTAATGGTAAATAAAGTTTAATAATGAACAAATTAAATAGCTCAAAAAAAAAGAAAGGATTATCTAATCATTAAACTTTGAAAAACAAAAAGAAAAACTTTTAGCTTGCGTACTTCAAACCCGTTTTCTTTAGCATAAGAAGAACATTTCATAGTTATATTTTCAAAGCTAACTTTTTTATTATTCCAGTCAATTAACGAGCGGTAATTAACAAATATTGGGAAAGGTCGTTTTCCTAAGATAGGTCCAAAGTCATGATAGCAGCCCACTTTTGAGACTGGATTAAAATATTAAATATATAGAGAGAAAATAGTTTTAAAGTTTTTTTAATATCATACAAAAAAAGATTAATAACTCATAAATACAACTTTAAAAAAAAAGAATAATAAAACTTACAAGGTTGTAGTGTTGAAACTAAATAAAATAAAATACTCAATCTTAGAAAAAAATACTTAAACAAAAAAAATCTAAAACTATTTTTAGTTTATTTTATTTTAATTCTTACGTTTTTTAATAACGCTATACTAAAAGAAGAGCATATAACCTACTCTTAATAAATGTTAACCAGTATAGTGACTGGGGTTAGTTGAAACTTTTTTTTATTTTTAAGTTTGTGGCTAAAATGCAAATATGTTTTGAAATTGTTTTTTAAATACTATTTACTAAAGCTATTTGATAATTTACTATTTAACAGATATAACTAATTAAGTAATGTTTCTTTAATATTAATTTGAGTGTATGAAAAAATTACTCCTACAAATCCCGCTTTTAAGGCTAGTTAGAATAGAGAATGGAGTTAGTTGAAAAAAAACTATGAGAATATAAAATACATGTTTAATAATAATAAATTCATTTTTACAAATAAAAGCATAAAATTTAGTTGTAAATATTGTATATAAATAATAACAAAGATTGTTTTAATAAGTAATAAAACAAAATAAACAATAAAAGTTTTATATAGTTTTATATACGTGAAAAATATTGATATTTATTCATATATAATAAAAGAAAACTTGAAGTTAGTTCTAATTTTTTGCATGCAGTTGTAAATGGTAATGAACTTAACTGCAATTAATAGCTTGTCTATTTTTATAAAGCATCTTGAAAAAGGTGGCATACATGCAAATACTCTAAAAACACCTAAAATTAGTAATATGGTGTTTATTCTTTTAAATGCATTGAATTATTTTAAACCAGACTGCCACAATAGAATTAGTCTAGTTTAAAACTTTGATGTTTAAGAAACTAATGCTAGTAACAATCCAAAATGAACCATTGCCAGGCATTTTAGTTGTCACTATTAACCAAATAAAACGTCTATAGTACCGCTACATTTGTATTATAAAAATACTCAATGTGGTTACGGGGTTATGGGAATAATCCGATAAAGTTATTACATTCGTCTTGATTATCTTTATTATGGTTAATATAATATGTGGTTGCTAAGCAATTAAGGTATCCATATTAACCTAAAAATAAAACTAATATTACCATTGATACCGCAATTCTTAAATTAGTTAACTAAAATTCTTTCAGTCAGTTAAATTAGTAAACTAGTAAATTTTAAAATCTTTATTATACGACGTGTTATTAGTATTGTACAGTAAAAGTGAATTCTGGCCCATTGAGCATCTGAATCAAATAGTTTTAAATATCTGTGAACATTAAAGGACAATCATATTTTTAATTTCACTATAAATTACCCTTAGCCTGAAGAGCAGGGCGCCGCCATAGTAGTACTTTAAAATTTGATTTCTAAGGTATATTTCATTTTGGTGCCAAATTAACCTCTAACCCTCCCCTTTTTCCAATCAATCTAGAAAAAATGTATAATATTTTTTTTTTAATACAAACTAACCAAAACACAATATTCTCAATTCTTTTATGTTAGCATGGCCCCCACAAGGAGGAAGGGGGTATAGTGGTACTGTAACACTGGGGCTCGGAGGCAAAGAGGGCCTGGAGGTGATGAGTGGTAGTAACCGAAAAAATAGTAAATCCAAACAAAATATTATTCTTTTGAATTAAAAATAAATGTGAAAAGAAAAAAAAAATTTTTGAATCAAAAACATTGTCTAAAATTAAAAAGTAGAAAACAAACAGACATTTTAACAATTCAGGTAACCTTATATATATTGCTTTTTTTTTACGCTGGTTTCTTTAAGCGACTCCTGAAGCTAAACTCATCTTCGTTATGAAATATAAGCTATTATTTGTTAACTTTAACAAATAGCCTAACACTTATGTTTGCACTTAAGAGCGCTATGGTCTTAATATTATGCGGGCCGTTGTGTAAAAAATTCCATTTAGTAGTTTTTTCTTCGTTAATGGATTGGTTAGCATAATTTGGTCCATAATCTTTCAGGTTATTCATTTTACATTAGTTGAACTTTGTTATCAAATCAATAAACTAAAAAAAGAAAATATATTATTCTAAAATCATTTGATTTCAGACATCTATACCATTTGAAAATATTATGATTCTGATGTTCCAAAACTAAAATTTTACTTCCTTAAAAGACACATTTGCTGTTCAAATGTATATTATAAGGATGAATTTAAATGATGTTTCGAAATGAAAATTATTTTTTTAGACTGTCAAGTTATTCAAATACCATTTCAAACTCAAATTACAAACATAAATTTGGAGCTCAAAAAAGAAACTTAAAAATGAGATAAGATCAAAAGTATCTCTTGGTAGTCAATCAATAACCAAATTTTTCCGATATGGAAACGAAGATTCTTCTAATGGTAAAATTGAGGATTGTAGAGAGCATAACTGTAGCATTAATGTCAAAGCTGAAGATCATTTTGAAGTAGATTCAATAGGTAAAAAATTAGACAAAAGAAATGCGCATGGATCTACTTCTGATGACACAAGAGATAAATCTAATGATGGTGTGGCAGAAAAATAATTAAATGCAGATGATACTTCTGATTCTAGTGTAATCAAAAACATTGATACAATTCTTGATCACCCTGGTACATGGCCCAAATTGATTTCAGATGGACAGCACCAATGTATATTAACATCTTACAAATTTGGGGAAGTTAGGCAAATGTATGAAAAATTACCAAAAAATCTAAAAGGAAGAAATTTTTATGAACCTTTATTGTTTAGAAATATGAAAGATGAAGGAACACGAGATCATTTTCAAGAGAATGGTTTTGCATGGAGTTTAACAAAAAAAACTTTATTGCTTACCATGCTTTATTCTTTGTAATCAAAATAAATACAATTTGAGGAGTTTAGCTCATGAAGAATTTTCCCGCTAAAAAGACACTACGGAAAAAGTTATATGATATTTTGCCCAATCATGAAATTATTGCTGAACATTGAAAACAATATTTGGCTCGGAAAGTCTATTTAGAGTCAATAAAAGGAAATGGAATAGACAAACAATCACAGCTACAAATACAAAGATAAATAAGTGGAAAGCCATCCTGAAACGAATTATAAATGTCACAATATTTTTATCATCTAGAGGTTTAGCACTTCCAGGAGAGAACACAACAATTGGGAATATTCATTATGGAAATTTCTTAGGGATCTTGGAATTGATTGGAAATTATGATGAAGTGACACATCAACATTTTGCCAAAGTACAACAAACTCAGTTTAAATTGAAAAGTATGAAGGAAAAACTGCGTTATCAGTTTTTGTACTCTCAAAATGAATTCATCAAGTTATATGCAGACGAATTTCTACAAGCTATTCTAGATCAAAGAAAAGATGCAATATTTTATGGGTTGATAGTTGAGCCAACAATGGTTTAAATATGTGTGGTAAAGTTAATGGTTTTTAGGCTCGCATCTTAAAAAAAACCAATCTGCTTTATTTTTTCCATGTGGAGCCCATTTATTAAACCGTGTAGGAGTTAACGCAGCAAAATTAAATCCTGATGTAATAACCTTTTTTGGAAGCATAGAAAGCTTCTATTGCGTGTTCTCTCAGAGTCCTGCTCGAAGGAATGTGTTGAAAAAACACATAGCCTTATCTTTTCAATGTCTTTTAGAAACAAGATGGAGTAAAAGAATTTATCTGTAAAGTATTTACAAAACAGTTTTTGGTATTGAAAGTTCTCCCCTTCGTCCTTTGCTTCCCTACGTCCTCTTCTCCCCTTCGTCTTCTGAATTCAATTTATGACAAACAACTTAAAGGCATTTGTACCAACATCTGTCTGGCAATTAACAGTTTTGTACAATTCCATTCAATTAAGATAATATTTTTAATTTTTATATCACCAATGCTAATTGGTAATTTAAATACATTCTCTTTTAAATGAATCTTGAAAACTTTTCTTTAATTTTATCTTATCATTTAGACCGTCTTCGAGTGTCTTTTACTGTGTTCAAGACAGTATTTTTATAGATCCTAATTTTTGTTTTTTAGTTCTAATTGAATAACCAGGCTCAGTGCATTAGAAATAGGTGTCAATATAATTTCTTTTTTTCAATAATATTTTTAATTGATCTGTTGATAAAAAACTTTTTTTGACAAATACAAATTTAGTACCAACCATAAAACTGTTTTGTTTGGTGGAAAGCAATCGGGTCATTTTCATTGTTTTAGTTACATTAATTAATTGTTTTAATTACAGGAGTTAATTAACTTCCTTATTTTATCTGTCTTTTAACTAGATAAGAGTTTTTTCTTGCTAAACCCGTGATTAAACTAAATCGTTTTCTTTTATTGAAACTGTCTTTTCATTCTTCTCTAATTAGTTTTTTTTTCTTCTTCAAATATCGCTGTTGAAACTTTTCCCGTCTTCCAGATTTGTACAATTTAGAGTTTTTAAAGTCTTCTGACAACCTTTTATTATATAAGTATTGTCAAAAACATTTTGCGAAGAAAAAATGTTTTAGAAAAAATATTTTGCGGGAAAAAAAAAATTTTCCCGAAAAAAAATGCCAGTAGACGAACCCAGCATTGGGCCCTGTTTTAGAATGTGGGGGTCATGCATGTTAGTGTCCTTATAAATGCTATTCTTAGGCGGCTCTAATGGGATGAAATTTGTAAATAATACAATTTTCAAAGAATGAATGAATGCTAAAAAATAAGAACGTTTTTGTCATACTTTCACAACTAAAAAACTGTCTTGGAAGATTGACGTTAATGTAAATCAATTATTGAAATAGCATATTTTCAAAGCATTGTCAGCAAATGTGGTCTTTTTATAAACCTCAAAAATGTTTTTATTTGAAACAACTACTTCAAAATATAATTTTTAAAACCGAAAAAGATAAAAAAACAGAGAACATCTATCTTGAAATATAAAAGTATAGAAAAACATACTTACACACACAAAAAAACAAAAATTAAAAAAAATTATTTGTTATAGTTAAATTATACGAAATTTTTTTAATTTTTATGATGAGAGAACTGCCAAATCATTTAATATCATTTAATAAAAACCTGAACGAACAATTATTCTAAAGCATTGTAATTACAAAGATTACAAAAAAAAAGAAGAGTGGTATTTTTATAAACAAATACTTCAATTTTAAATACTGACAAAATACAAAAAGAATATTTTGAGTACGCGAAGGTACAACTACAAAAAATCCGTTTCCAATAAACTTATTATTCATAAACTTAGTGAAAGCAATTCCAAGAAAGCTGCTAACTTGACACAGGAAAACAAGTAAGTTTTTATAATTTTTCAAAACTTTTGATTATCTATTAAAAATGGCTACTCATTTTCTAGAAAAAAAAGATTTTAAAAACTTAAATTTGCAACTTTTATAGACAACATTATAAATATCTTGTCTAGCGAAAATATTTTTTTAACATTTTTTAAAAATTCAAATGAATCAAATCAAAACATCGGTTAATTTGACTTTAAAGCAACAAAATTTTTCTTTTTCTGTTTTACATGTTTATTAGCAGCATACGACAAAATTTTAAGAAACTAAAAGAAAAAATTAAAATTATAAATTAAATTTTTGACGTCATATCTTTTATAGAGACCTAATAATTGAGTTCTTTTTTGGACTAGTACCCAGTGAGCACGGATGTAAAAAAAAACGTCTTTTAAACGTCTCATACACGTTTTGCACGTCTTTTAAAGGTTCAAAAGACGTCTTTTTTAGGTCCGAAGCCCACTAGGTAGTCATATAAAAAAGGCGATTTTAAGAAATAAAAAGAAAACGACTATATTTATTGTTTATATAAATTCTTAGAGAGAATGAAGTTGATTAAAAAAAATAATAATAAAAAATTTAAATTTGGTTGATTCATAATGGTGGAAAAAGTGTCGCAAAATCAGAAAAATTGATCACATTTCAAAATGCTCTTAGTAAGTTTTCCTTTATCTGTTTTTAATTAAATTTTAGAATATTCTACAGTAAATCTAGATATTCTATTTAACCGTCAGATTTTACCTAAATCAAAATATCAAAAAAATAATTTTTTTAAATGAACCCATAGATTTTCAATAGTTTTGTTGGAAGATATGAAACGTTTAGGTCTATAAGTTAGTATTTAGAGTGATTCATAAAAATTCTGAAGGTTAAATAAAGTACATATATGTTGTGAACATAAAGTAAAAATTTACTAACAAACACTCTATCCAATATCAAGTTATCGCATTTTAAGTGTTTTAAAAAACGCTTGAAATGCAAAACAAAAAGAAAAACACAAAAGAAAATTTAAAAATCTCAACTTAATCTTTAAATCCTAATAACTTGCTGTAGCATTAGGACCTCTTTGCTCTGATGGATCATGTGACACGGGACCAAATAAAAACTTCATGGAGAATGAAATGCTTTCTGTAGAGTGTCTCAAGAAGTGATTCTTATTCCAATCCTGTTTTCAATTTATATAAATGGATTTGGTATGATTTGTGCTTAAAATTACTTTTTAGAACACTTTTTTTAGTTTTATTTGCTCTTTAAATTAAAATAACTTAAAGTAAAAGAATTTTTATTATTATTTAAAGGCCGCGCACAAATAATTAATACGGCAATAATACGTTAATACTCAAAGTTTGTCATGGGATACGTTTACAAATAAATTGTGCTAAAAAAGTCAAAAAAATTATTGGACTGCACGCATTGTCATAATAACTTAACTTTTATTCTATTAATGATAGATAATGCTAATGGAAGCGATGATTTCTTAAATTTTTACAAAAACAAATAAAAATTACCTAAGCATTTCTTTGATGGGTCAGTCCATCCGACTCTGCATGTTATAACTCCATTTTTTTCACATGTGTAGTGTCCGTTTATATCGTCATCATGTTCGATGCATACTTTTTCAACACAATTAGGCGGTTTAAAATTGTCATCGCAATCGAAACTTTTGAGGTTAAAAAAGAAAAAGTAAAAAACTATTGAAAAATGGTTTCAATATAAAATAATGTTTAATATAAAAACAAGCGTAAACTTTTTTTCAGAGGTGGAAAGTAACAAATTACGGGAGATTTTTTGTTTTTACTTTTGTGGAATCAGAAATTTATTCAATGGTTTTGCAGTAGAAAATCTTTTCTAGTTAATCAGTAAGATTGAAGTAACGAGTTTTTTTTTTGTGAATTTTTACTTTTTAAGATTTTTTTTAAATGTACACTTTTACTTGAGTATTTTTTTTCAAAGTATTGTATTTATTTAAAATCGTATACGTTACTGAGTAAAAAAGTTTAACACGCATTAGTATATAATTTTACAAAAAGTACAACTTATTTCCTTAATTTAAAAAAAAAAAACTATGAAATTATTTTCTTGTTTAAACTTTAATGTTTTAAATAAAGTTACGAAGACATTAAAAAAGTGCCTCGCCTACGTTTTAAATTTTAATCTTTCTTTTAGAATTTTAAAAGAAAATTTTAAAAGAATTATATGAGAAATGTTAAAACGAAAATATATTATTTATTTAATTTAATTTATTTATTTGTATTTTAAAAAAATGTACAAAATACAAAATGGTGAGACAGGTAAATACTAAATTACTCTTATGTAACACCAACAAAAAAGTAGTAATAACAAAAGATTTTCTTACAGCTAAAGAATCATTAAAGTATAAAACTCACTTCCAGACCGTTTAATGAACTCGCCCCACTAACAACCAAGTAACAACAACAAAAAAATAGTAATAGTAGAAGATTTTTTTACAGGGAATCCCAGTGGATACGGGACATAAAAAAGACGTCTTTAGAACGTCTTTTAACGTTTTAAACGTCTTTTGTACGTTTTGGATGACTTTTGAACGTTCAAAAGACGTCTTATTTTGGTCCGCTGCTCACTGGGAAGAATCATTAAAGTATATAATTCACTTCCAGACCATTTAATGAACTCGCTCCACTGTCTGCATTTAAATCGAATTTAAAAAAGTATTACTTAAAATGTCATTGGGCTACTAACTTGGTTTTTTCACAATTACTTTTATTGAAGTTTTTTTGGTAGCGAGGTAGGTAGGGGGGGGGATGTTGATACCAAGCTAAAAAAAAAAAAGACTTCTTTAATTGCAAAAAGGCTTCTAAATTAAAAAAATAATCTAATTCTGTTGGAGGAAAGGATGCATACTTTCAACCCCGTTCCCCTGGATCCGTCACTGATTATGTTTAAGAAAAAAAATTATGTATAGCATAGCGTGCATATCTTTGCAAAATATAATGATAAATTTGCCAACTCTATATGTTTTTGCAAATTTTGCAAGAGCGAAGAAAAAAACTTTCATTAACTGGTAAAATGAATATTAAATAAAGACTTATTTTTACATCGCATTATTTGTATCAAAAAACGCACATAAAAATATTACTTTAGTGTAATAATTGTAAAGATATTCAGAGAAGAATGGACCACGTCGTTTACGTTTTGTTATACGACAGCTCTGTTACCTAAAAATGGCTGTTAAAAAAGTAAAACAGTAATTTTTATTCTGAGTACATTTTTACTTGTACTTAAGTAAACTTTTTGATCAGTAACATTTACTTGTACTTAAGTAACGTTTACTTGTACTTATGTAACGTTTACTTGTGCTTAAGTAACGTTTACTTGTACTTAAGTAACGTTTACTTGTACTAAAGTAACGTTTGCAAAATTTTGTTAACTTTTCAACCTTTCCTTTTTTTGGTTGTTTTTGGTTCTTTGGTTGTCAAAAAAGAAAGCTATCTATAAAACACTTATTTCTGTAAGTTATGCTGTAGGAATAACGGATTTTAGAAAATTTTGGTAAGTCATTCCTATAAGTTAACTTACAAGTATGACTTGCCCTAAAGTTTCCAGCGCATTTATTGAGTAACTTTGTAACTTGTATCCAGTGGGCACCGAACCTAAAAAAGACGTCTTTTCAACGTTCAAAAGACGTTCAAAAGACGTCCAAATGGTGAACAAGACGTTTAAAAGACGTCTTTTATACGTCCGTGCTCACTTGGAAATTCCTCCGTTCCAAAATAAGTGAAATTTATTGAAACTAAACTGTTATTAATTTTTTTTTGTTTTAAATATAAAATACTGACGTTTTTCATTAATGTTATTTTATAATAGTAAACTATATTATGAGAAAAAATTTTTTTATTACATTGTAGAAAAACAGATTTTCATATAAAAAAGAAAAATTAATTAACAACATAATTTATTTTCTCCTTACGTTGAATGCGAATCGGTTCGGAAGTAGTATATTATATACTAAAGTGAATTCCCTATAGCCTTAATCCCCTAATCTCCTTAGCGCATTTATTGATCCAAAATAGTTTTGAAAGTGAAAATCGTTCATGCTAAAGGTTTGAGGCTGTTAGATTAACTATAGTTTTTCAAACTTATGGATTAGTTTTAATCTTGTCATAACATTTTTAGATTCTTTTTGAAAACAAAATGTTTTCAAAAATAATCTAAAAAAGAGTTTTAATAAATACGAAAAATTGGATTAAAAAGTGCTTTCAGTTTTTAGTTTAAAATTATAGTTACTGGTGGTAATAATGTTAACATTATTGTAAAATGTTTATTAAACTTATTAATAACTAAAGCAGTTAAACTAGCAAATATTTATTTCATGAAATTATTTGCCGAATGTTTTCTTATTTTAATGAGGCATTGTTGAAAAGTATTTAGCAACTTGCCTATAGGGCGTCCCATTCCCGAAAAACTTTAGAATTATCACGCCAATTTTTAAATTGAGGTTTAGGTTAAATAAAAAAAATATTATGTTCGAAGTAAATTTTTTAAAATATAAAAATTTAAGGTTTCCACTCAAAAAAAGTTGATTTTTGAGTATTTTTGCTTAAAAGTTAATAGAGATATACCGTTAAGAATTCAACTTTTCGCGCAGTATTATTTACTATCTTATCTATATTGTATAAAAATTAGAATTAAAAAAATTTGTTTATTGAACCCCTGCCCCCTGTTCTAAAGAGCCAAGTGGTTTTGTAATTTGGTCAAGGTCAGTAAAGTAGTTTGCGCCAGATTTTGTTAAACGGTATCACTAACTATTATTAACCATATAGGCTTAAATTTAGGACAATTTAAAAATGTTATTTCAATCAATTAATTATTCTTAAACGACGATCAAGCTCTAAACTGGCAGTTCAGAATAAGAAAAAATTTTTCGCGGAAGAGTTGTCGCTACATAGGCTTTACGGTTTTTGGTGTTAGTTTTAAAAATTCGTTTAATATAAAAATTAAGTTCATTGCTTTAACAGAAAGTTTAATACTAAAATAATTATTATTTAGATTTAGTATTAGTTTTATTAAATAATAAGATTCGGACATAATAATATACTTTGTTTAAATAGTGATTTTTAGAGATTAAGCTGGGTGTTTTAAATTTTTTTATTTACATTGCTTTTCATGTTTACAGTAAGTTTAATATACTTCTTACGATAAGAAAATATTTGCAAAAATAATGTTCCAAATAGATTAGGCTTGGTATTTTATATATTTTTATAACGTTTTTGTAATTGCTTAGGAATCTTTCATAAATTATGTAAAGCAAACTTTCACAATGAACAAAATAAAAAAGATCAAAAGTTTCCCTTCGCAGCCTCAGGGCCGACAACACGGATTTTGATGTGTGGGGGCACAATTATCAATTTGTGAAAAAAGTCCTCTATATCAAGATATTTCAAAAAAAAAAAAATTTTTTAGAAAAAAAGGTGGGATGACGAGCCCCCTGCCTTCCCCCCCCCCCCCCCCTCCTCTGGTGTCGTCAGCCCTGAGTCTTAATTTAAATATAAAATCATAATAGCCAATTCAGTTTAATGAAAATCCACGATCTTGTTAATTAGCGAAACCTAGTAAACCTCTAAAAGAAAAAAATCTCTCGGTGAAAAAAACAAGATCTACACGAAACTAGAAAAGTTTAAATGTCGTTGTAAAACTTATCCATAAATAAGTTTTGCTCAGAAGATACCTCTAACTTAGAGAAATCAATAAGGTGGTGGAATAATAGTGTTGAAAAAAAATATTTTTAAAGATACCTTGATTAAATTACAAGAAATTTGGAATAGAGCTTATTTACTAGTTAATCCAGAAAACAAGTGCTTTGAGTATTTCATTGCAGTTTTCAAAGAATAGCAAAGTGGGTTGAAAAAGGGTTTTATTCAGAGCTGATTAATTAATTCCAAAAACAAGACCAGTTTTTGGAATTAATGAATCCTCTCTGTAACGTATCAACCACTAAGAGGTATTACATTTTACGTGTATCTCGAATTGCAACGTGGAAGGAGGTCTGGGAGTTTTTGTTGATATACAGTGATAGTATCCACAGTTAATTATTTCGTGCATTATTTCAACCAAGTTGCTGTGTTTTGTTTAATTAAGGTATTTTTTTTTTATTTTACGTTAGTAATATGTTGTTTATGTCCTATTAGGTTAGTTCGATGGTTGGTTGCGGCACTTTTCTTTTACAATTCTTGCGTTCATAGCGAATTACAATTACTTATTACTACAATTACTTATTACTACAATTCTTGCGTTCATAGCGATCAAACAACAAGTTTTTTTGCAATGAACGTCTTGTAAACAGAGTCAACGCACACATCACAGTTACAAAAAAGTAAAACAGCACTAAGTGATTAAAAAAATATTGTGAAAAGTGCGGATCACTCAAGCAGCTCAAAAGTTGGAGTTTTCACTCTCTTTTAGCCAAAACGGAAAACCAGATTGTCAGCTGTTGTTATTCAAATTGATCCTACAAATTTAACAAAATTATTCACTGATGCATCTGACCGATTAGGCCTGAGTGTATAAGGCCAAAGAACTGTTAAAGAAAAAGACGTCAAAATTAGACGCGCTCCGTTGCATCATTTTCCAATCTTGCGATCATCACTTCAACGTAAACGTAAATGAATTGATTTGGCACCATTTCTATAAACACTGGATTGAAAACTGAATGCGCAGTGCTCGTTGGTAAGAAATTAGGCAATGCGCTGTTGTGAACAGCTTGTCGCTATAGTATACACAAAATGCATATTCATAACGTAGGCTGTGCAGTTAGTAAAAATCATAACGGACCTATCAAGCCACTTTTGAAAATGCAACAAAACTTTTGGGATTCTGTTTCTTATAAACCTACAGATGTAACAAAGTTTGAGTGTCTCGAAGAAAATCATCCTATTCATTGCCAGGTAACATTCGTCTTGAACCGAGAATTGAAAATTTATTATCAATTGGAGGTGACCTGCCAAATGGTAAGATTTTTTACTTCAAAAAAAAAGGTCCACATCATCTTGCAAGACTTATGCGCAACAAGCTGTACATCTTGAAACATGTTGGATCAACAGATTGCGTTGGTAAACCAAGTTTAACGTCATAAATTGAAAAGAATGATATTATCGCGCTTTTGCTCGCCAAGGTTTTTTACAAAGTTGCTTTTCATTAAGCGCAACGTAATTTAATAGTCATTATCAATATGCATGGGTATTGTGATACAGACAAAACCGCTACTGACGTATTGCAACACCTTTGGGAACTAACTAGAGAGTTAGTTCTCTTTGCAATGTTTGATGAGGACATTATGTTTATTGAACGATCTGCTATGGCATTAAAATTTTACAAAACTCAAGAATTAAAAGAAATGAATCATGTAAAAATGTCTTTCTTAAATTATGATAACGCCAACATCACTTCTTCCTCTTTAATTTGTCAATGTTCCTGACTACAATTTAACTCTAAGACTGGAATTGCCTACCGAGAATTGGATGAAGATGAGAGATTACAATAATCTGTAATCAACTTTCAAGTTGTGAATGATTGCGCCGAGAGAGGGGTAAAACTTATACAAAACTACAAAACCAAAGCCAAGAAGCTTTGAATGAGCTTTTCTCCGAGAACGAAAAGGAAATTTAACGAACATTTGGTATTGTTTTTTTAAACAGTTCGAATTCATTTACGCTAACAGAAGTTAAGTTACTTAAAATTTTGACTATTTAATTCAGGGGACCCTTAAATTAATTTTTATAAGTCGAATTTTGTTATACAATAAATTATATTGTATAAAAAGTTTGACTTAAAAATTAATTCAAGGAGAAAAAATTATTTTTCACGCAGAATTGTTTAAGACAGTATGCGTGAGAGGTTGAAGTCGTTACGATATATCTGTTAACATTTTACGCTAAAATGCTAAAAAAGGACGTTAAAAATTGACTTTTGTTAACTTTTTATAATTGGGGGGAATAAAATTTTTAACTTTTTTTTTTTAATATTATTACAAATTTTTTTTTTTAAGTCTGAACCTCAATTTTGGCGTGAATAAAATAAAATTTGGCGTTCTAAGACTTTGTGGAAAATGTTTTAGCAGTTTGATTTTAAGATAACTATTATTTAGTTTTAATATTAGTATTATTAAATAATTTTGGCGAGAATGAAATAAAATTTGGCGTGATAGTTTTAAGACTGCGGAAAATGGATACCCTATTGCCATGCGTGTAGCATTTTCAATGAACTGTTACATAAATGACTTAATTTGAGCGTGCTATTTTTGAAACCGTAAACTTCATTGCAGTGTCAGAGCTAAATAGTTGCCCCTCCCCCAAAAAAGCATTTTTTTAAAGGGTTTTTACTAAAGGACGTGGTCTGCTGCTTAGAATATTTGTTATGATTTTACCAAACAATGTAAAATATAATAAATTAATTTAGTTTTTTAATAAACTTTTTTTACCTTGTTGTAAATGATATTTCATTTGATATCATTGGATTTATTCCACCTAAAATGATATGTTTTTTTATGCCAATTGCATCAAGTGAAAATTGTTTTGACAACCGATTGAACAAATTGATATTCTTGTCATTTTCGTGAAATTGAGTGTAAATTGTGACGCTTAAATTAAAACTTACCTATATCAAAAAAAAAAAAAAAAAAACTGTTAAAAGTTGCATATCAATATTTTTTTCTTTTTTTTCTTTTAATATTTTGCTGTTACAATATTAAAAATATTTTACAATTTTTACATTAGTAACGACAGGACTTCTAGAAGATCATGAGGATCTTGTCATGAAACCCTTTGCAATATATCTTTAACTTTTAATAAAAATACAATGTCTGTAGTGAAATAATAATAATACACCTTTATGCAAAAATATTTAAAAACCAAGAAAAATGTTAAAAAGCCAAGATAAAATGTTAAACCAAATAATATACAAAATAGAACAACAACAACAACAACAACAACAACAACAAAAGCAATTAAAAATAAATCATGATATTTTCAATTAAAAATTTTATGTTGAAATCCCTGATCAAGTAATTTTTTTTTTTTTCAAGATCAGTCTTCTTTATTATGTTTTTTTGGTAAAAAATTGCCAAAGTTTTCAATTCTTCCAGTTGGTGGCCTGAAACAGCTGCATATTAGTATATTTATTGAATGCTTATCGATAAGTTCTATTGTTAAAATCTCTTTGTTTTCATCAGAAACACGCATTTCGCTTCGAACTTTATACAGAAAGTTATTTTTCACAAAAAATAAAATTCCTCCTCGCTTATTAGTACTTCGTTCTAAAATTACTCCATCAAAACCTGGGAGATGGAGATTTAAGTTAAATTTAAAAATTTGCTTGTAAACACCAGGTTTCAGTTAAACAAATTAAAAGAACATTCCGCTTCGCAAATAAAATTCAATAAGTTTTCAAAATTCTTTTTTAAGATACGTATATTTATGTGGACTGCATTAAGACAATCACTTTTATTACCACTTTTTAAAATTTTGCTCACGTTACTAGGATAAAAATAAGAGGTATCAAATTCAGCAGAATTAACTTTATTAAAATAATTAATATCCGGATCGGATTCGTCGTCTAAGTGTAATGTATGGGTTTCAAATAAATTAAATGGGAGTCTTTATTGATCTTACAAAGGCGTTTGACACAGTAGACCACGCAATGCTATTAAAAAAAAAAGGAAAAATATGGCATATAAAATTCAAACTATAAAATGATTTATCAACTAAATAGACAACAGACAACAATGTGTTACCATAGATTACTATAACAACTCAAAACAATTGAAAATCAATTGTGGGGTCTCTCAAGGACCTATTCTAGCTCCTCTTCTATTTTTAATTTATGTCAACAACCTGCCTAAAGTCTCATCTAAGTTAGATTGCATAATTTTTGCAGACGACACTAATCTGTTTTATTCTTCTAGCTCAATCAGTGACCTTTTCATAACCGCAAACTTAGAACTTATTAAACTTAAAACATGGTTCAGAGGTAACAAAATCTCATCAATTTTACTTACTCTTAGTATAGACTACACAATTATTGAATGAACTCAATCATCTAAACTTCTTGGTGTGATTCTTGACGAGAATTTATCATGGAACTCTCACATAAATACCATTAATACAAAAATCTCAAAAAACATTGATCTACTCTATAAAGCAAGAAATTATCTATCGTTCAAAAACTTGAAACTTCTTTATTTTTCCTTTATACACAACTATCTATCATATGCCAATATAGCATAGGCATGTACCCATAAAACTAAATTAAGTTCACTCTACAGACGACAGAAACTCGCTTCAAGAATTATATTATTAAAAACAAACTGACTTTACTATCCATTACAAAAACAGATAAATAAAATATTTTGTTTATGTTCAAACATAAAATGGAAACTGTTCCAAGTCAATTTATAAATAACTTTTTTAAAACTAATATAAATAAATTTAGCACTAGAGCAGCTGGAAACTATACAGTACCCTTGAAAAAAAGAAAACTGTCCCAATTCTCTAAAGCAAATCGTAGTCCTTATTTGTATAACAAATTAATAACAAAAAATTCCTCAATATCTCTCCTGAAAAATATAAATTCAATACAAATTAATCTTAAAAAACTCGTTTTATATACAAGCAGTTATATGGAAATTTTTTAATATCTTATGAGTGATTCAAATATCAAAATTTGTCCCAGAAAAAAAAAAAAAAAAAATCTAAAACTTAAATATATAAGCAAGTATGAATCTACATATATATGAATCTACATATATATGAATATATATATATATATATATATATATATATATATATATATATATATATATATATATATATATATATATATATATATATATATATATATATATATGTATATATATATATATATATATATATATATATATATATATATATATATATATATATATATATTCATATATATATATATATATACTTGAATATATATATATATATATATATATATATATATATATATATATATATATATATATATATACATATATATATATATATATATATATATATATATATATATATATATATATATACATATATATATATATATATATATATATATATATATATATATATATATATATATACTTGAATATATATGTATATATATATATATATATATATATATATATGTATATACTTGAATATATATGTATATATTATATATATATATATATATATATATATATATATATATATATATATAACTTGAATTTTTATCGTTTAAGGGATTGAGTTTATAATTTCCACTCGCGTACAATAACCTTGTAGTAGAAAATATATGTAAATTTTCCCGATTGTCTTTCAATTTTCATTTTCTTTCGCAAGTTTTTTCTTATTCGATTTGTCTCCATGCAAAAATCTTCGTTGATAAAAAATATTCTTTTTTTTAATTTTGAAGAGTTTTTTAAAATTGCTTCCTTATCTTTAAAGTCCAATAATTTCGCAACAATTGTTCTGTGACTTTTTATATCTTCTTTACCAGCTCTATGCGCTCTTTCAATTTTTACCTCTTTTATGCCCAAGTACTCATCAAATATTTTTTTTACTTTTAAATCGCTTTCCAGCCAGCGTTCGTTATCAATGTCTTTAAATCCTTCAACTCTTAGATGGTTCCTTCTTGATCTATCTTCTATTTCTCTTAGCTTGCCATTTATTTTTTTGAGTTTAATGCTGTTATTTTGAATTTTGTTGTGAGTAGGGTTACTTTTCATGAAAATATTTTTTCGTGATTTCAAATCAAAATTTAGTTGCACAAATTCTGATTTTTAATTTATCAAGATTAATAAAAATACATATTTTAAGGTTAAAATTTAGGTAATTTAGTTTGCATTTTTTAGGAAACGAGAAACTTTTTCCACTTACAACACAACACATTTACACACTTACAATACAACACATTTTGAAGGGCCATAAAATTATTTTATGGTAAAGAACTGCGGTCTGTGTACCAAACGAGAAGGCAACAAGTTGGCCAACTTATTTTTTCTTTTTTTTCTATTTTTTTTTTTTTTTTTAGGTGGTCCAAGAAGTCATTACGATCTTATTACATAGCACCGCAGAAGCACAGATAGCACAGCATTTAACCAGGAAAATCACGCATCATTGACGTACGGGACCTTTAGTTCTGAAGCCAGAATTCAAACCACTACACCACAGCTGGTGCTAACTATTTTTAACTAATTTTATATTCATCAATAAACTTTGCAAACTATCTCAAACCAATTTTTCCTCTTTGTATTATATTCTATTTCACACATCTGTTCTTGATAAAACCCATTCATTTTCAAAATGACCGCCGAAAAAACATTTTGAGAAAAGGAATGGAATAAAAACTGCAATGGTGTATAGCCAGTTTTCTATAAACGTTATGTTGATAAAATTAATTATAAAAATAGTAGACAAATTTCTATTTCTTTTACTAGTGAACTAGAATTAAGTTCAAAAATATCGTACTTCAACGCAACTCAACACAAAATGAATTCTTCAGTCAGGACTAACGTTTTTTACGCTAAGACCAATTCTGATTTTTACACTAATTTTTATAATTTTTCTAAATTATGGCATAAATTTAGTCTTATCATAAATTTAGTTGTATCCAGAGTACATTTAAAATCAATTGTACTCAAATTTGATTTCACTTCGACATAAATATTCGTTTTAAAGTATTTTAAAGAAACACATATCCATCTTGATTAAAATTTTAAAAGTTTGTAACTCCTAATTAAATTTATTAATTTAAACACAAATAAAAATTTACTATAAATATTTGTTAATAAACATTTAGCAATTTAAGCTTTCTAAACAGTGGATTTGTGCTTGTATATCTATTAAATTATTACATAAGATACATTATTACAAGGCGGTTCTTCGAATAAAATGAGGGGGTGGGGGGTGGGAAAGGTGAATCTTTAAAAAGTACCAATTAAAGAAGCAATAAATTGTGTAAAATGTGTTGATGTTGCCTTTTTAGATTTTTCTAAGGCATTTGATTTAGTTCCGCATTCCAGGCTGCTCTTGAAACTTAAGTCATTTGGTATTGTCGGAAAATTGTTGCAATGGTGTAAAGCTTTTTTAGCAAATCGAAAACAGAGAGTTGTTTTGGGACTGTTTGAATCAGAATGGGAAACAGTTCGTAGTGGGGTACCACAAGGATTGGTCTTAGGACCCTTACTTTTTATAATTTATATAAATGATTTAACAAAAAAGTTGAATAATAAAGCAAAACTATATGCAGACGATTTAAAAATAATTGCAGTTCTAGAAAAAAATAAAATAAATAACTCTCTACAGTTTGATCTTGACATCTTATTTAACTAGACTAAAAGATGGCTTATCAGTTTTAATAAAGATAAATGTAAAATCATGCATTTTGGTCGTGATTATCAGAAAATAAAATATAATTTAAAATATAATGCTACAGAAACAGAGATTATTCAACATGGACTAATAATAACGTCATTGGAAAGAGACCTTGGTGTTTATATTTCAGACAATTTAAAATGGGAAGACCACATTGAAAAAATGGTAAGTAAGGCGAATCAAAAATTGGGTATGTTAATGCACGCAATCCTCTATCCAGATGAA